CCAAGCGATATTGCTGTGATCCAGTGTATCTCAATACCAGGCATGACTCAAGATTTCCTCAGATGAGAGTCGGCTGCCAAGGATCCCAACCATTGGGTTCAACGTGGAGACCGTTGAGCACCTTTGCGTCAACAGTAACTCTCATTGTTCACATGTCCTTCAGCACTTCAGCTGCTGAGATCGCAACTTTCTGCTTGCACCGGCAAGGTACAAGAATCTGTCCTTCACCGTCGGAAGCTTAGTTGCGGTGAAAAAGCATGAGTGCATTGCTGTCTCGCAATGAAGTCAACCACAAGTGAGAAGAGCCTGTGGCCCAAATTCACTATCGAACATACCCGGCACTTGTCGCGATTCTAAGGTCTGGGATGTCGGAGGCCAGGACAAGATTCGCCCCCTGTGGCGCCACTACTACCAGGGCACAAACGGCCTGATCTACGTGGTTGACAGCAACGACCGGGACCGCATCGAAGATGCCCGAGAAGAGCTCAACAAAATGTTGAATGAAGACGAGATGCGCGATGCTGTGCTGTTGGTCTTCGCCAACAAGCAGGCGCGATGTTTGTGAACATCGGAGTAGGTTGATGAAGCGATGACATGATCAAGACCTCGGATGTCACATGGGCTACGCTACAGAGCTGTCGTGCCAGGACCTGCCAAATGCAATGACTGCGGCGGAGGTCACTGAGAAGCTCGGGCTGCACAATCTGCGCCATCGCCAGTGGTTCATCCAATCCGCGTGTGCCACCACGGGAGACGGTCTATACGAGGGTTTGGACTGGCTCTCACGGACACTGTCCTCAAAGCGCTGAGCAGCGGACCATCATGAGCGGAGAGTTTCAGAGGCCTATCATTGTGTAGTGTGGTAGGTCTCAAGGAGAGTTTTGCCCCTTGGCTAGAGGTAAGGGTGCACGACCGTTGCAGTTACTGATACACCGCCGCACACTCTGCTGTGCTGAAAATGCCATGCTTTCGGTGCCCAGTGACACTTCTCACCTCGTGTTTGGACAAGTTTTGGATGCATTCTTAACATATAGATACTGTGTAGATACAGTCATGGAACCCTTGTAGTGACTAACATTCCTAGCCACAACCAAAAGCACCCTCCGAGGCCCGCAGGCCTTGGAAGCCGTTGCGACCAGAGGCGGCTAGCAGGGTCGTAGTCGGCTTATTCGGGAGGTGAAGTAATGAAGGGGCGGTGTTGATGTTCTTCTGGGACTTGGGGTATCCAGTGCGTGCTTTAGACCTCGAGTCTGGAGTTGGGGTTGAAACGACCGAGGGTTTCTTCACACGGCAGTCGCGGCCATGATGGCTGTAGTGATCGATGTATCTACATTGCAGCACGCAGCTATTTACTTCGCCTCCAGATGCCCGCAGCAACGATCGAGGCAGCAGTCGTTGAAGAGCAGGCTGAAGAGCGACAAACTCGTGAAGAAGAAGGCAACCATCGTGGCGGGAGGGAAGAGGGCAGGGAAGGGGGAAGGGAGGGAGGGCTGCAGTGCTGCTCCCGAAGCCTCGAGCTTCATCGCGCGATTGCTCGATAGTTCTGCAACGGCAAGATCTGATAACGAAACTTTGTCGGCGAAGGCTAACTTCGGGTAGCGTATGGTAGCGTATGCCACTTGTGCTTCGTGCCAACTGTGCCACTTAGCAGCACGAGCCTGTGCAGGATCTCACGAATCGCAGCCAGCTTCGAGCCAGTCTCAGGGATATAGGTAGTTCTCTAAATCAGGGTCTTTTTTTGGGTCTCTAACATTATAAGGCAACCTTGTAAAAGGACACTAAACGGGACCCTAATTTAGAGAACTACCCATATCTGCAGACCTCAGAGCTCGCTGAGAATGCAAAAGTCAAGCGCGGTCATGTGAGGTCAACGAAATTCTGAAATTCTGTCCCAACAGAAACCTCTCTGAGGATTCTCTGACTTGTTGGAAGCACCTGCAGCTGAATCGGCTCCAGCTGATTGACAAGGGAAAGGAATTAGAATTAGACCCCCAGCGAAGGGGTGCAGCCTACAGCGGCTCTCTTAATAAGTCGTGCGAGGGCTCCCGGCCATTGCTATGGATACAGCTGGCGACGCTGAAAAAGGCACGAACGCAAGAGCTTTGCGGTCTGCCTGCGTTCTGGGGCAAGGGCGCCACACATGTCAGGTGTCCTTCGAAGCGACTGGATTGGACCAGAGCCGGAGGCCTTCCACGCAGCTCAGTCAACGGTCTGAATCATGTTTTCCGGCTGTGGCAGGAGGGGCTGCTCCGTGCGGGCTTGCTCAGCCTCGCGGAGGCCATCGGCACCGAAAGGCCATCTGTTCGGCTCCGGCTCGTCATCACCGTCAAAGCTCGCATGGATGCAAAGCAGAGCTCCTTACATCATGTCAACTAATGTATGCGAAGCTTCCACGACAGCCCTGCTGACGAACCGCGCCTCATGGCACTTCCGGTTGCCGCGCGACGCCTTGCGGAGGCTGCTGGAGTTTCCCCGACGAGCCAACGGAACGCCTGGGGCCTGAGCTCTCATAGCCGTGCATGGTTGGAGGAGCAATGATTCTTATACTAGCAACTTACTAGTGACATAGTATGTTGTTATGTTGTTCTAGTCTCTTATGCAATGTAGTGTTAGAACTGACATGTCATAGTCATTGCAAATATGATGTGCTATATAATCTATAAACTTACGCTTCTGAAGTTGGCAGATGCGCCAGAGGCCGCTGTTGACGCGGCAGGGCTTCTTCGAGCGCCTGCTGAAGGGCGAGGACGGCTGGGTCACTGCAAGGAATGCCTATAATATAATATAATATGATATAATATAATATAATATGATATAATATAATATAATATAATATTATAATATACCGTAATACAATATAATGTAATATACTATAGTATAATGTAATATAATATAATATCCCAGCCTAGACGTAGCCTTACTAGGGAGTTGGCACTCATGGCGCGCCGATCCGGGATCTTAGATAATCTTACTGAACTTCGTGCGTGTGCAGACCTCGCTCCTGGACTGTGCCGCTGCAGATGCTTCTGCTGCCGAGGCCAACTCCTAGTGTGGATGCTTCATGCTTCTATCGAGCAGATTGCTTGAAACTCAAGTGTGCAGCACATGTCTCCATCCACAGATTCATGGAGCATGCTATGTTCCGTCGAACGGAGTGCTACCCCATCTGCAGACCCGATGACAATTTCCAGTTGAGAGGCAGATGTCAAGAGGCTTGGATTGCACCAACTCCTGGCGATCCGGTGCGCTGCCCCCCGTAATTTAGCATGTTTATGACTCGGATTGTGGCTGATCTGTGTATCGGCAAGTTGGTGGTCGAGCAATTGCTTATGCCTGCTGGTAACTGCAGTGGCTCAAGCTTTCATGGATAATGCCAACGGCGTAGCTTCGTTCTAGCTTCGCTTTGCTGTTGGAGAGTTCTTCATGTAGACTCGACTCACCACACAGATGTTGGTCACCAGTCCTGGAATGCGCGGCATCGGCTACCCCACGAGGAGGCACTGCCACTTGTGTCCACATACTAGTACCACGCCGGTGCTGACACAAGCAGATCATTGCAGACCCGTGATATGAGCGGCCAATTGTCCTGTCAGGATAGGCTGGGCCGATTGCATCGTCCCACATCCAGACCAGGCAAGCTCTCCGCGATACTGTGGCCCTTGCTCTGTCTACCTGATCCTGAGAGTTTCACAAGCTGTGAGACGAATGCCATAGCTTAGTTAAGCCGTTCTTGCTCAGAAGGACGGCGAGGTGCTACATGCTCGGAGTCTCAGCGCTCGTTCCGCACGACCTCGACAACGTAACAGCAGGCTGAAGTGACAATGACAGTGCACGCAAGTAGATGGCGGCGGTGCCATGTTCTAAAGCGTTTTGCGCTTGTAGTGCAGCATGGAGTGATTGGAGGTTCCGCAGACGGCGACCACTCTGGGACGCAGCTGAGGCCGTGGCCTTAGAGGGTAGCAGATGGTAAAGTATGGTAAATAGTGGGTCGCGAAAGCAGGCACCAACTGGTCAATGCGTGCCAAGCTTGGTCGTTGCTGGTTCAGTTTTCGCTAAGGCTCTGGGCCTAAGCGGCCTGCTTCGCCGGACTGGCAGGTGATTTCGCATCGCCACGACTTAAGTTGTCTTCGTGCATCGTAAAACAGGCTCATACGGCCTTGGCGGAAGTGTGGTGCCAAGTGGAAGCAGCGGGTTGCGCCTGTCCTAGCCAGAAATTGGCAGGTGCGAGGCTCATGTGATATCATGTGGATCTTGTGGGAGCGTCTCTGAATTCGCAACCGGGCAGGAGTGGGGTGCCCCGCGCTGGGCGAGGGAAGCATTGGGGCTGCTTCTTCGCCGGCCCTTTTTTTCACAGGTGAGTGGAATGTGTTGGACCTCTGCGCCCGTTAGCCGTATTGCAGAGTAGGTTTCACCAAGGTTCTGTCCACGAAGAGCAGGGCTGAAGCGCTCAGCTTGCTCTTTCTCTTCGTTGCCAAAGGCCAGGACTTCCAGCATGTCGGGCCCTAACTCTAGCCGGCTCTGCTTCTGCGGCTGGCAGCTGGCGGTCTTGGTGACAGGCTCTCCCAACCGCGACCAGATCAACGCGCCACACAGGCAGCAACGGTTTGCGCCATTCCTGAAGTTCAGCCCGAAGTTCAAGACGTGTCAGTTCCTGATGCTCCTGAAGAGACCTCGTCGCGTCGTCGACGTTGCTACGGGGGATGCGCATTCGTCACATGCAGCCCATGTGACCAAATTGAACCCTAGAGACAGCAGGTCAGGACCAATCTAAAGGCTTCACAGGCTCCGCCGCTCTATCGCAAATATCACACCATGAGACCTGTTGCATATATAGTTATATATATATATATATACATATATATATATATATATATATATTACATAATCAAAATAAATAAATAAATCAATATAAATATAAATATAAATATAAATATATATATATATATATGTTATAGATGAATAGATAGATAGGTAGATAGATAGATAGATAGGTAGGTATAGGTAGATAGAGAAATAGATAGATACATGGATAGATAGATAGATAGATAGATAGATAGCGTGAACGCTCGACACGTGCTTGATGCCGCCGCCGATGACGGACACAAGCGTCGAAACACCATGAAGTCCAGATCTTCGGACCTGTTGCTACACAAGCGCCAGGAAACGGAGAGATTCTGTCGCCCGCTGCCTGTCAGGCACCTGGGCGAAGGACAGCTAAGAAACTTAGAAAATTGCGGAGTTCTGCCGCTTGCTGCGTCTCGGCGTCCAGCAGGTGCCATCTGGCGGTCTCCAGGCACCCCATACCAGGATCGGTCCGGGGCCTGGGCCTGGGGGCTGCGGGGGGCCCGCGCCACCGGGACTCCTACTTTCGCGCGTTTGTCCTGTGACACCGAGGGCTGCAGCGCTGCTTTTCGAGGATGGCCGTTCCTGGCTGCTGGATTCCGTGCCTGTGCTGCATTCACCTTCACATTGTTAAGGGCCTTATGTGCTTGATGCTGCCGGTCCCAGTAAAGCAGGCAACAAAAGCGCAGGTGCCATGCCTCAAAAAACCCTCAAATTCCCGAAAACCGGAAGCGATGGCCTGCTGCCGGGGGAAGTGGACCGACTTAGAGCGTCAACACGCATGCTGAACACTCAGGGTTTGAGATGAAAGACGAAGCAACATAGGCGCTTCGTGCACAGCACCTTACTGCAAAAGCGTCGCAGACGCCTGCGTATGCGAGCATGTTGCTGCTCGGCTCCGACTCCCGAAATTCAGCCGGGACCCGCGCACGGCGAAAATCTGTGATACATCGATCAACCCGATCACGGTCGGAGTCCCCTGAGCATCTCAGTCTGAGGGTAGTTTCCTTTTTCCTACTGACACCACCACCCCGCCTAGCCCACCTGCCCCGCCTACCCAACTTACCCCGCCTACTCCCACTACCCCGCCTGCCCCACTTAGCCTCAACCAACCCGGCAGTCAGGCTTGGCGTGGGAACGAGCTCATTCAGACAATCATGCGTGCAGGAGTGAATCCAGCAGGAACCTTTACCGAAGACGAAAACCCTAAGGAGTGAATCCAGCAGGAAACTTTACCCCAAGACGAAAACCGTAAGGAGTGAATTCCCAAAATGAAAACATTAAGGAGTGAATCCAGCCGGAAACATTTCCCGAAGACGAAAACCATAAGGAGTGAATCCGCCAGGAACCCTTGACCAAAGACGAAAACCCTTGAACTCAGCAGGAACCCTCGACCGAAGACGAAAACCGAGAGGAGTGAATCCAGCAGGAACCTTCTCCCCACGACGAAAACCCTAAGGAGTGCATCCAGCAGGAAGCCATGACCGAAGACGAAGACCCCAAGGAGTGAATCCAGCAGGAAATTTTAACCCAAGACGAAAACCCTCAGGACTGAATACCCAAGGCGAAAACCCCAAGGAGTGAATGTAGCCGGAATCTGCGGCGATTTGCTATCTTCGGAGAGCCAAAAAAAAGCTACGTACAACTAAGTCGTTCCGCTGAAAAAGCTGAAAAGCTACATCTAAGAGCAAAAACGTTACAACTAAGTGTTCTACCATCTCTGAGCATTCACGCGGTGCGGCTCGTTTTGACAATCTCCAGCTCTGAATCTGCAACTAGAGGATGTCATCGTCTCATCGGTGGGAAGGCTGCCAAGTGAGAGCTCATTGCTGACACACGCAGCCTGCATGCAGCAAGAGATCCTGCTTGCTGAGCCATCTTATTCACTCAGGGAGCAGTGGCAGTTTGTTGTGGCATGATGATCAAAAAGAGGTCTGGAAAGCTGGCAAGTCGAACGTCGCTTGCCCGCAGAGTCTTGTGAGAGGGAACTGACGGTCAGCGCCATGAAGTTCTGTTCCATACTTCCGCCCTGAGTCTGGTGGCGTGCGGGAAGTGGTCTCGCCTCGTTCCGATGGCTTGGAAGCTGCGGCTTACAGGCCAAAGCCGGGCGTTGAGTGCGAAGAGAAATCCTCAGACACAGCGCGGCAGGCTGTTTCGCTCCCTGGGGCTCCCTGGATGCACCCGGATCTTCTTCGGCACATCCACATCGTCCAGCGCGCCACGACGAGGTCGCCCGCCGGGAGTGCCTTGATCCTGCTGGACGACCAGCATCCTCCACTGCCCCTGGTGGAGCACGGTCAGTCTCGGATCAGGCCTTCGTTCTCGCATCAGTCATAACTGTGCCTTTGGATGAAGTGATCGCGTGTCAATACAGACTCCGTAAAGGGTGAGTTGAATTACTTATGATGCACAGAGAGCGGTCTAGGCGAGCGCTCTTCTTGATCGGGTGTCCAGCTGGGCTGAGCCCATCGCAGGAGCCTCTTGTCTTCTACATCCGGCGAAGATAGGGCCTAGGGTGCAGGAATACCTGCGCGCTTGATCACCGCAATGTAGCTCTCCCATGTCAGGCCCCTGCTCACACATCCATCAATGCCCTTTCTCAACACATCTCCTGGGCAGATACCTGTTTGCCGTGTGAAAGTGCCCCTTCGACAAAGCCTGCTTGTTGACCCTAGCGCTTCAATGAACCTCAAGCATGTCTTGGAGGAGCATGCTTTTGCACGTGCGGCGCGTTGTGCCGGTTGGCAGGCAGGAGTGGAGTCTCATGCAGTCAAACGGTGAGACGGGTTAACAAGCGGAGTTTCAAGGCATTTCGCCGTCGTCATGAGCGCCCAAAGCACGTCAGCCGAGTTCTGCGAAGCAGGTCCTTCGGCTGCGCTTGGGCAAAGCATCCGAGTTTGCCTCGAAGATGGTTCTACGACTTCAGGCTGCCGGGCAAATTGGGATCTGCGAGATGTCTGCAGGATCAGGATCCTGCAGAAACCCTTTGGGAATGGCCGCTCAGGTTTGGCACTCGTGTGGACGCCTTCTACCATCCCTCGATGCCATGACAGTACCTGGAGGTGGACATGGAAAGACCGAAGGACTATGGTCGATGGCTTTGCTTGAGATCTGAGGAGCGTAACTCAAGCTCGTTTCTGGAACTTCCGGTCTGGTTCGGCAAACATCTGTAGGGAGCAAGGCTCCCCACCCGCGACCTTTCTCCTCACAATCCTAGAGGTGGACAAGTCACGTCTACGATGTCCGGTTTGTTGGTATTGCAACTGGTGGGAGAGTTGAGGACGTTCCCGTGAGATGTCGGACTCTGCATTGATTCCCTGTGCGTTCCTGCTATTCCTTGCAGGACCCTTCTTGCCGTGGCCATCGCAGCGCAACCTGGCAACAGACTATGATAGCGGCGCTCTGACCAAGGCGGGAAGAAGGGCAAAGGGCCATGAGATATCATGAATCCTTGAAGCTACGGCTACAGCTACAGCTACCACGTACATCCGTCTGCCTCATCTTGCAGCCCGTGAGTCTTGTTCGCCCTGGCCGCAGGTTGCGGTCCATTTCCTTGTGCCCATTGAAGCAGAGTCTGGGCTGCAAGACGTGTAAGCTTCTGAAGTTCTATAGGGTGTGCATGGGAAGCTTGGGCTCAAATGGCTGCAGTGTCAGGAGCTGTCCGAACTCTTGGACCGCAAGGGCCCACACTCCTCGGCTGCTCGTGATGCGCTTGCCCTGGCAACGCGCAGTGCTGTGGCAGCTGTTTGCCACTCAAAGGCGCAGCAGGGCTCACGAAGACGCGGCTGTCCTTGTACACTTGTATGGATGACAGCTACCGTTCAAAGGTTCGGGGATCTACGGGCAGGGCTAGCGTGACAGATGTCATGCTGAAGATGCCAACCCGAAACTTGTGTTTGGCGTTGTTTCATGACGGCTTCACCGACAGGCAAATTAGCACAGGATACCATAGCAGCAAGACGTGACATCTGCCCATAGCACTGGACAGGGCGGATGGCGCGGCTGCCAGATCACTTTGTGCCGCTCGGAGCAACTTTGAATCGCCGGCAAAGCGGGTCAAGGATTCAGGAATCCACAGAAAACACTTGAGCTCAGGCTTTCGATGCGGAGGCATGATCACTATCCGCGGCAGGCTTGCGGACAGACTGGTCCACACGTCTCTCGCACTCAGCGAGCAGCTTGGATGCTGTGGATCTGTTAGATTCTGATGGATCTAAGCTTGCTTTGCTGCTGTTTGCGACAATCGGGCCAAAGACTAGCATGTGTCTCAGGCGTGTTTTCCTCAAAGAGCTGAAGAAATCTGGGCTGAAACAGCAGGAGGACTGAATGCTATGCTGCGTAAAATCTTCCGCTCTACTGCAAGCCTACAGCCCCTTGTGTAGACTCGAGCACATTCCTCCGTTGGGCACGACTTTCGCGAGGAAGCCTCCAGCGGGATAAGAGTGCACAGAGGCAAGTGCTGCAGTGTCATGCGCAAACGAGCCTGCACAAACACGTTTCCGTTCCCCGGCAAGGCCAGAAGATCAGCTGTGGAGGCGCGGTGGTGTTGGACCTCGCTGCGAACGGAAGCTCGCGCGTGCCAGCTCTTCCAAACAAGGCCGGGGCTGTTTCGAAAAGCTGCACTGAGTCTCCAACATCCAGAAGTGCACTCAAGCAACTATGCAGAGTCGGGCTATGAAGGGAAACGCATACAGTAGATAAGAGCTGGAGCTGCTGAGCTTTGCTGAGGATTCAGCTTTGAATGCTATTCACCCAGCTGAGAAGCTCAGGGCTGCACTGGGGCAGCGACCTGCTTCTTGGCTTTTGGTCAAAGACAGGGTACAGTCCATTCATCTCTTCGCTACTAATTGGCTGTTCTGGTGCTCCTAAGTAGCCAGTTTCGATTGCGCTCGCACTGCATTCAGGAATCCTTCTTCGTCGATCTCGGGACTAAAAAAGTCACCGCTGCACCACACCATGTCGCGGCAGCTCTGCGTGGGTGTGAACGGGCCAATGCACCAGAGGCCAGATCTGTAATTCGTATCTGTCCTCTTGCTACTACAAGGTAGCGCGGTTGCGTTCTGGCTGTTGTCGTGTCAGAATAGTAAACAGACTTCTTTATCTGTTCTGGCTAATCTCTTGGGGTGCTCATTGCTCCCCTTCGGTGGTCTAGAGTGAGCTGTGAGGTCATTGGCATCCTCCAGAGCGCCCTCCTGGGCGAGGAGTCTTCATCCATGGAAATTCTGCGAACCGTGCTCAAGACACCCAGGCCCTAAGCCTACTTTTTCAGTTCCTTGGACGACAAGAAGTCAGTTCGAAGTAGCGGAGAAGCTGAGTCAGCTCCATGCGTCTCTGCGGCGAGACTTCATCTTCACCTGCCACGAGCTTCCGGGAAGCTTCTTGACGTCGTCTTCGCAGAAAGCCATGGCAAAGCCCGGCCGGCCGGCCCTTGGCTTCTGCGTTCTTTGTATCTCGGTGTTCTTCGAGAAATCAATGGTCTCAAACCCCTCTGCAAGTGTGACCGGAAGATATCCGCACTCCCCGGGAAGCTGTGCAGGCTTTCTGAGGCACAGTTCGATGCTCTATGGATGCAGATGTAATTGCTTGAGCGCCAGTTCCAGATCCTTGGAGCAAGGAAGTTAGAGTTGCCTCCTGCCCACCGGTAATTTCCTTCCTGGATTTGCTTGCAGACGAATTCCATGGGTTCCTCAACCTGGCTGCTGCTCACTGGCTTGGGCTTGGACGGGGGTCGGTATTCCTGGGTAGCCGTGTCTCTCCCTTCTTGGCTTCGTCCAAGACCGCCACGCGCAGCCCTGCGATGCTCGCCTCTCTGACCATGTGACAGGGCAGATCCGGGTGGAGAACTGGAAAATCCCAGAAAGTTACGAAGCCGATTTTATTGACAGGGACAAGATGCACCAGGCTTTCAATCGCTGTGCACCCAGAAGACGGCACGGCGAATGGGCTAACGCATGCAGTGGCTCACATTTTTACCAGACCACGGTGAGCAGAAGTTCAAGTTATGGGTAGTATCCGCACGATTCTGGACAGGCATCAGGGACTATCTGGCGGTCATAGTTAAGAGCGACAGCACGCGGCTGAGTCAGCATGAGTCAGCCTCGTGATGCCTACTACAGAGTGCTCGACTAGCGCAATTAGTGCCTCTTGATTTTCTGTGCAAAAGGAGGACATCGCTCCATTTCGTGTGGTCCCGGCACCAAATCCCAGAACCGACACCTGTGCTTCATGTTGTGCAGGTGTGGAGAATCGATACGTTCGCTCATGAAATGAGTCCTGAAACCCAAAGCCAGAAACTCCACGACACCCTAAAACCGAACCCCGAACCTCGAGACTCTACCGCCCCAATCCCTAAACCCCTAACTGAAAGCCCTTTAGCCTAAAACCTAGCATCGATGACAAAGTGCTTAAGTCGTCCATTACTTTTGCACTTGTTATCCGGTGCTTGGCACATTTCGACCTCTGTAATCAGGCGCTTGTAAAAAGATCCTGCCAACCTGACCTCAAACCCCAGGATAGCAGGAGGGCCTGCTGCTGCACCGATAATTTCAGCATCGGTCAGCCACTGGTGGAGTAGTGCTACTATCATACCTCTGCTTGGGGTTGTTGGTATCTGATATACTATGATATGCTGGCATCCCGGCGTCAGATGCAAGAACCTTGACCTCGGCCAATCAGCTGCTGGACGGCAAGGTGCAAAGGCGCGACTTCATGAGCCGAATGCTCGATGCAGAAACACTCCCCAGCAGCTGCGCGGTGTAATACACTCCTGATCTCCGTTTCTCTCACGTGGCACTCTGTCTTTGTGCAGAGAGGGGGAGGAGGGAGAGATATGAGCCATCCAGTGAGAGGGAGTGTCGGAAATAAGCGGTTCAGACTGCAAACAAGCAGCTTGCCACAACTTGAGAGGCAAGCTTTCTGAGCCTTGTCGACCGCTGTACCACGTCGCTGCTGGGTCGGGCGCTGCAGTTCCTCGATGCCACCAGTTCGCATCCGACAGATTTTCTATGTCTACAACCTACAGAGTCATGCGAGTTCCCCACAACGAGGTCAGCGCCTTCTGGGAGCTGAGCTGGAGGCCGAGACTCGGAAAGGGTACCTCGATCCGTGTCCTGTGTTTGCGTGAGCTGGGACGGTGTCGAGGAACCTGCTCGGACTGGGGTCAGAAGGGTGCGAAAGCGAGGGAAGCTTTGTCCTGAGCGCGGTTTAGGTCACTGCCGGAACATCTAGCAGCAAGGAAAGAGAGCGGAACTTCCCTGAAATCGGCCTGCTTGTCCGCACACCTGTGGTCTACTGAACACGCTGCTTGGAGGCCCTGAGCGATGCTCATCGAGCGTTACTTAGCGGCAGAAGCGTTGTTGGCTTGACAGTCAAAGCAAAGTAAGTAGAAGGTGCTGAGCTGCTTCGGGTACTTAGAGCATTTCTTTCACAATCATTCAGTGAAGGCCACCATGTGCCGGAATCGTGCTCTCGCACCCTGCAGGCTACTTCTGCGTCACATCGCCCAGATCTCAGCGATGCGAAGTTTACACGTCCTCCATGAGGAGAGGCCCGGCTTTGGCTCGCAACAGCATCTCCAAGGTGCTGATTTACGGTGCTTCGCGGACCCTGGCAGCGACAGGCCCCGGGTCACTCGGGTTTGCCGTTGCAGCTGTGCAGCGTGGGACATTGCACCTTTGCACTCTGAGACTACATGTTCCATCAAGAAGTTGCGATCAGAGCCTACTTACTAGCAATGCGCAGTACAGATTACCCGCAGGAGTAGATTTGCTGACCAAGCATCCCAACTCCACACACCTCCAAGCATAACGTTGCTCCGACCGGGTCTGCCGATGGCACCGCAAGAGCTGAGCGGCAACGTGAACCTGGACCAAGGCAGGCTCATTTTGTTCCCCTCGTGCATATGTGACCACAGTTCCATACAAGTTACTAGTACCTTGGAGTTTTCCGTAGCTCTCGCAGGTGCAGTGAAGAACCTCATGGAGACGCAGCTTGATCAGAAGGACGTGTGTTTCGGAGCTTGAGGGACGACAGTGCCAAGTCATGAAACCCCTCTTGGAAGGACCTCCCTCCTGAGCAGGTGGCCTGGTCGCAGCATTGTTGCACCAATGCGGCAGCATGTCTTAGGCTGCGTCAAGCTGTTCTTGTGCTTCACAACAGTTATTCAAGCAAAGCTACTGCTTTTCAGATTGTGTTCTTCGTGCGCCATGGGCAAAGCCGATGGAACGCCGCGCAGGCCCTCGCGTGTGTGCTGAACTTGTGCATGGTCGCATGTTCATCACAACTCGGTACATCCAGATACATTTCGAGCATGCTACTCCGTTATGCGACTTCCCTCTGTTCCCAGGCGAACCTATCGCCACTGGGTATGGTGTGGGAGAATGTCATGGGCTCGGCTCAGCATCCGACAGCATCCTGCCGCAGCTTCTGTGCTTGTTGGTCCCACCAGTAATCTGTTCGATCGAGTCCTTGGGTCACAGTTGCATGTTCATGTTCACCGATCTCAGCGGTGTCGTGTAGTCTTGCCCGGCACTTGTTTCACCAAGTATGTCCTGATGAAGACAGACAAGAGGTATGGTTCGTAACTTGCTGTTCTGTCATCCTGAATTTGCGTCCCAGGACCACGGCCTGTCCGAGGACTGCATCAGTAAGAAATGGTCACAGACTGCTGACTGCTGACCATGGACCAATGTTCTGTTTGCCATGCAGACATCTCTGTGACAATTCACCGCAGTGGTGCTTGTGGCTACGAGATAAGCTCGTACCATGCAGGATGGCCGCCTCGAAGCAGAGGACGGCAAGAGACCTCCCCCTCCGGACTCGCATCGGGTGGTAAGGATGAATTGATTGCCTGAGGAACTCAGGCAGAAGCTAATGGACGCCAAGGCAGCGCAGCTTTTTTGGGGGGGGGGCAGCTGCTTGCTGGAGCATGCTGGAGCCATCGGGAGCCATGTTTGCCAGGCCCGGGTGATGAACCCACAGGCTCGTCCGTTGAACCCTCAAAAACCCTAAACCCTACTGTGAAAAGCCGTCATTTTCGGACTCTTGGCCAGGCAACCTGGATGACCAGGATCTTTGGCCTGGTCCTCAGAGTCCTCAGCGCTTCTCGAAGTGCTCGGAGTGTGCGTGCCACTGAGACCCTGACGTGGTTTGCAGCTCGCGAGATGCCCAGACCACTATTCTTTTTGATGATCGCTAGGAATGTCAGTGGATTGTGGTTAGCTTCTCCGGGAGAGAGCGCGCGGGGCAAACATTGCACAGGCCCTTTACCCGCTGCCTCGAGACTGCCTGCATAGCTTTCAAGGACTCGATGCTGACATGAAGTCGCAAGCAAGGTAATCATAAACTATGGCTGCTGGGACAGGCTATGGGCGTTTCTGGAGTCCTGCCTGTACAGTGACATGTAGCTTGTTGGTTCGTGGATGCTCGCCTTGTTTCCAGGGCTGTCCGGCATAATTACCCAAAAGCCTCCTGGGCCCAAGCTGCCAAGCTCTACAAGGAAGTGGATTGGTGCCACCTGGCGTGTCGAGCCACACAAGGTTGCGTTAGTAAGGTATCGTTGGGTTGCCTTGCGGCTGAAGCTGGCGAAGATGATCAACCTGTTGCGCTCGACTGAGCGAAAGAAGCCATTCAGAAGTCATAGTTACGCTGAGCCGAAGGCTGCTTGTTGTGGTCTCCTGCCTTGTTCACCCATGCTTTCGATTTGAAC